AGGTATACGTGTGTGTACTGTGTGTGTACTCAGTTGACTATGCGTGCGGGGGAGGTCTGCTCTCTTTCTATGCATAGGCATGGGCAAGCACGTTCAATGAGTCAGAGCATTAGGCATAACCCAGCAGAATTAGAAATTAGCTATTTCCCCTTCCTTTTTTTCAGACTGACCCTCAGGGCCCTGCCCACTGTGTCCCCCTGCCCACTGTGTCCCTGGCCACATGACAAGGATTTCCTTCCTCAGATTCCTCTCCAGTCTCAGGACACTCATCACTAGGAGCTGACACTCTGAAAGATTAATGGTACCAGAAAAAGCCTCTCTTCCTCATCCATTAGGTAACTGCAAATCCCAGAATATAATTGGCAGTGGGGAAACGGGTACAGGTTGGAGGGAACCCTGAATTCCCAGAGGAAAATCCTGACGATGGGGTATATTACACTGTTTCAGAGAGGAGTGATCAATGTTCTCAGGATATTTTTGGCTCCAAGATACAAGATTAAATGAAAAGTTCCTTAAAGGACCCAATTTTGCTTTCTACATACCATTATCTATTAAAGGAACCAGGCTCCTTAGAAAAATAACTGATTTCCAGCATAAGGGACAGGAAAGTAGAAACTGAATGTGGATTATTTTGCTCTGCCAGAATGTAAATGTTATAGGTTGAATCTGTCCCCACAAAATTCATGTGTTGTAGCCCAACCTCTAGCACCGCACAATATATTTGGAGATAGGGTATTTAAGGGGTAATTAAATTAAAATGAGATCGTGTGAGTCCTAACCCAACTGGTGTCCTTCTTATAGAAGAGATTAGGACATAGACACACACAGAGGGGAGATCATATGAAGAATCGGGAAGAAAGCAGCCATCTACAAGCCAAGGGCAGAAGCCTCAGAAGAAACAGACCCTGCTGGCACCTGGACTTGAACCTCTCACCCCCAGAATCCCCATGAGAAAATAAAATGTTCTTACTTAAGCCAGCTAGTCTGTGTTATTTGCCATGGCAGGCCTAGCAAACTCTATGTTCAAAATATATCAAGAATCGGGATCCCTGGGTGGTGCAGCGGTTTGGCGCCTGCCTTTGGCCCAGGGTGCAATCCTGGAGACCGGGGATCGAATCCCACGTCGGGGTCCCGGTGCATGGAGCCTGCTTCTCCCTCTGCCTGTGTCTCTGCCTCTCTCTCTGTGTGTGACTATCATAAATAAATAAATCAAAATTTTAAAAATGTATATATCAAGAATCAAATCACTTCTTGCTCCTTGGTTGTCCGAAATACAGCCAGCTGCTCTTGGTTGCTCCCACTTGTACTCCAAAGCCATTCTCAATACAGGAATTAGAGGTAGTCTAGGAATCAGCACAAGTCAAGTCATGTCACTGTCATGCTGCCATCCCCCAGTGGATTCCACTTAATTCAGAACAAAAATCAACACCCTACCCCATGTAGATAGGGCTCGGGTTACTCTTGGCTGTTTTCTCCTGTGACTCAATTCCCAGATCCAGAAACCCTGGCAGACATGTGCAGCCACAGGGCCTTTGCAATGGCTGTTCCGTTCACTTCCTGCCTCCTTGAGTGCGTTGCTCAAAGGTCACTTGTCCAGTGAAGCTGTTCCTTCCTACATATGAGACCTAAAATTAAAATCGCACCTCCCATCATCTCTATCCCCTTTCTATTCTCCATTTTTCTCAGCATTTGACCATCTAACATAATATCTACCTTGTGATACTTCTGTCCATCTCTCCAACAAGAAAGTATGATCCACAGTGGCATAGATTTTTATCAGCGTTGTTCACTGATGGATGTCTGACTTCCTACTGCAGTGCTTGGCACGTGGTAGGACCTCAGTGGGTACCTGGTGGCTACAGGTATAAGATGAGGTTGCACCATGTGCTGAGCATCGCACGAGTAAGTTATCTCAGTGTTAGACTTCAAGATGACCGCTTGCCCTTGCTCCCTGAGAGAGCAGCCCCAACCTCAATGACCAGCACCACCTCCCTTTTCCCCCAGATGCCTTCCCTCACCTACTCTCCAGTTGTCATGGGAGGTTATGTTCTGATGTCTCACCACCTCGAATGGGAAAGGCCCTAGCAGTATCCATGGCAAAATGAGGTATATATGTCCTTCTCAACTAAGGAGAAAGGGCCTGGGATTGAAAGAAGACATACATGTCACAGGAAGATAAAAAAGTAAATGTTGGGGCACCTGGGTGACTCAGTGGTTGAGCATCTGCTTTTAGCTCAGGGCGTGATCCTGGGATCCTAGGATTGAGTGCCCCCTTGGGAGGGAGCCTGCCTCTCCCTCTGCCTATGCCTCTGCCTTTGTGTGTGTGTGTGTGTGTGTGTGTCTCATAAATTAATATATAAAATCTTAAAAAAAAAAAAAAGAAAAAGTAAATATCTGGTAAACAAATTTCCTGGACTACCTAGTGACAGTGGTACATAAAGGACTTTGATCCCACAGGCCTTAACTAGGTTCCTCCCTATTTACCATAACTAGTTCGTAGTACAGTGTGGTTATGTACGGTGGTAGTTATCTTCCTAGAGCAGAACTCCTAATCAATTCTTTTAGGCATTTGTGAGAGAAGTAAAGAACTTTTCCTGAATCTGCTGCTGCATCTGATCACTTTCAACTGAAAAATAATCTTCATGCCAAGGTGGACCATCTTGGGACAGCCTGCCTTTGGCCCCTCCAGAGTCTCAGGCTCCTTTTACAAATAAAGATCACTTGGAAGCCCAATGGGTAGTGCTGCCTGGGGCCAAAGCTGAAAGAGCCAATAGACCTTGGACCATCAGGAGCTCTGATCAAAAGAACCTGGAGCCAAGGGATGATGTTGGCAGAGGTGATGCCCTTCCTGTGCCCCAATCATAAGCTCATTCTGATGGGGGCTCTGCTTACAGCACCAAGCCTGCTGCTTTCTCTACCAGTCAATCGCCCTGCTTATCCTGCTCCAGCCTCTTTGTAGCCTTATAATAAAGCTGTTGTGACAGTGGATGGGAAGTAGGTGAATGCATCTTACATGTGTTGGTGGCCTAGCCAATGGTCGTCTCCCTATCCCCACCCCCACCATGCACACTGTCACTGACCTTCTCCCAGGCTCACAGAGCCCTGTGGTTTACTGGGTAGCAGGATTCCCTCCACAGATCCAGGTGATGTACCAGGAGTGGTCTGAGTCTGCCAAGGAGGCCCTCAATTGGTATAGGAGACAAAATGTGACCCAGTTCTGGGCAGTGGAGTGTGGGTGTGAGACAGTCAGGGGATGATGGGAAAGCTTTTGCTTCCAGAAACCAAGAGACAAATGATAGGTGGCTCAGTTGTTTGGGCATCCAACTTTTGGTTTTGGTTCAGGTACTGATCTCAGGGTCATGAGATCGAGCCCTGTGTAGGGCTCTAAGCTCAACACAGAGTCAGCTTGAGACTCTGTCTGCCTCTTCCTCTGCCCCTCTCCACCTCCCATACTCACTCACACCCATGTGCTCACTCTCAATCACATAAGTAAATAAATCTTTAAAAAGAGAGAGAGAGAGAAGTGATGAGAAATATCTCCCTTCACTGCTTTTGGACATGACCAGGTCAAAATGTGCCTCTCAAGCCCATTGCAATCACAGCAGACCAAGGGAGACGGCCTCCAGGGGCTGTAAAGCTCTAGTAGGACTAGCTCCATCTTGATTTACTTTTGCCCTGAATACTTCTCCCTCCCTTGTCATTCCACAGTAGACCTGTTTGAACGCTGTAAGCCTGTTGGGGAACTAGCTGACCTTATAGGTTTTGTTTTTTTGCTTTTCTTAAATTTTTAAATTTCATTTTTAAAAAAGATTTTATTTATTTATTCATGAGAAGAGACACAGAGAAACATAGACAGAGGGAGAAGCAGTCTCCCTGTGTGGTGCCCTGTGCAGGACTCGATCCCAGGACCCAAGGATCACGACTGAGCCAAAGGCAGACATTCAACCACTGACCCACCCAGGTGGCCTTGTCCTTAGGTTTCATAGGAACCCTCAATTAAGGCAGAACACATTGCACAAATAAACTAATGAGCATGTTCTTGCACATCACCCCATAAGCACATGATAAGCTAGTAATCAATTCTGCTTAAAATTTCTCAGGAGGGCAGCCCCAGTGGCTCAGCGGTTTAGCGCCACCTTCAGTCCAGAGCGTAATCCTAAAGATCCGGGATCGAGTCCCACGTCGGGCTCCCTGCATGGAGCCTGCTCCTCCCTCTCCTTGCATCTCTGGCTGTCTCTCTCTCTGTGTGTCTCTCATTAATAAATAAATAAAATCTCTAAAAAAAAATTTCTCAGGAAACTTGAAGAACCTGACGCTTGATCACTGAAGACATCCGATGGATTACTCTAGCCCTGGTGGCACTGTAGCTGGTTTCTTTTTTCATTCCTGTTCCCCTTTAAAAGCCCTGCCTGCAGGGAGATGGGACAGTGGTGTTTTAGGACATGAGTCCACCGTCTTCTCAGTGAGCGGGCTTTCTCGAATAAAATCGCTTTCCTTGTCCCAACTCTTTGTCTCCCTCATCATATTGGCCTGTCGTGCAATGAGCGGGTGGGACCCAGGTTCAACCACAAGCCACAGCAATTCTATGTTTTGAGGTAGGTAATCACAGACCTTCCATTTAGAGTGACCGTTCAGTCTCCCTTTAAAAACTGTTTCTGGGGATCCCTGGGTGGCTCATCGGTTTAGTGCCTGCTTTTGGCCCAGGGCGTGATCCTGGAGTCCTGGGATCGGGTCCGACGTCGGGCTCCCTGCATGGAGCCTGCTTCTCCCTCTGCCTGTGTGTCTGCCTCTCTCTCTGTCTCTCATGAGTAAATAAATAAAAAATCTTAAAAAACAAACAAACAAACAAAACTGTTTCTGTGGTGCCTGGGTGGCTCAGTTGGTTAAGCATCTGAGTGTTGGCCTCAGATCAGGTCTTGGTCTCAGGATCCTGAGTTTGAGCCTGGTGCTGGGCTCCACCCTGGGCCTAATGCTTACTTTACTAAGAAAAGTAGCTTTACACAGCATCGAAAAGGAAAGTGAAAGCAAAACTTTCAACTTCAATAAAATTTGGTGCACAAGCAGGACACAGCAGACAGCACCATGACTGAGGTAAGCCTCCCTGACTTTCTACCTCTCCAGGGGTGGGGGTGGGGGTGGGGGAGGTGGGGGGGGCCCCCTCCTATAAAGGCCTCAGTCTGGGTTCCTGGCCTTGGGCACAGTTAACTCCAAAGTTTGGAAAGGCTTCAGAAGGAGGTTCTGGAAGACTCTTTGTAGTTTAAAAGCTCCTCTTTAAAAGCCCCTGCTGGGCTGTGAGGGCTTTGGGTCCAGGGAGCCTCTCAGCCGGGGGCCCAAGGGCCTCCAGGGGTAGGAGCTGTGGTGGCAGGGGGCTCTGTCCCCTGAGCTGGGAAGCATCTGGGGCGTGGGTGAAGGGGGGGGTCCCAGGACTTGGGAGGTGGGTGGATCCCCACTGGGCCTGGCTCCCTGGCTCCAGATGGACTTCGGCGCCTGCTCGGCTCTATCCTCCTCTCCATCTTGCTCCATGGCACTTGGCCTGCCCTGTGAAGTCGGCTTGAATTTCAGCTTTCTGGCGCGGACTCCCTTCCTGACCGCCATGGTGTCCAGATTCCCACACAGCCCAGGCAGGCCTAGGCAGGGCTCGGTGGCTGGTATACTGGTGGCTGAAGGGGAACAAGTAGAATTCAGGCAATTTAGGGCAATGAGATCATTCCGGAAGGAGCAGCCTTTGTTGCCTGGGCAACCATCTCCTTATCCAGGCAGGGCCCAAGTTCACATTGTATATGCTGTCAGCTACTATGCACATGATATCTGGGCTTGACCTTATCACAGGTGGAATTCAGAGTGCAAAACCCCCTTTTGATTCCAGCGTGGAGGCCACCCCTGGGCCTGCCGTGCCCTGGCTGAGAGAGGGGAGGCCCTGGCCCTGGGTCCCAGCCCTTCTGGTCCTCCAGCCTCTCTTCCATGGAGATTCCCTTGGCCCCCATTCTAGGCCAGGCCCTCACTGGTTCCCAGAGAGGAAGGAGGCAAGGGGCACCACACAGGATCCCGCCCCAGTGGAGCTCCAAACCCAGAAGAGGGGCAGGCAGGCAGGGGAAGTCCCAGCACAACATGATCTGTGCAGAGGGGGTGGCTGCCCCAGGACCTGGGGACCCAGAGAGGGACAGCTGAGCCAGGCTGGGCCTGATGGCAGCTTCTCAGAGAGGACTTTCTGGTGTGGGTGAGAAGAGGAAGGGAGCGGGTGTGGGTGAGAAGAGGAAGGGAGCCGGGTGGGGCAGAGACAGCCAGGTGTGCAGGGGAGCAGAGGCAGGAGCCAGCTGTGTGGTGAGAAGGGCAAGCCTGGCAGCCTGTGGAGCAGAGGGCAGGGAGGGTGAGGAGGGCCTGTGAGTGGCCCACAGAGCAGGCCCCATGCCCTGAGGCCAGATGTGCCCTTTGAGAAAACCACAGTGTGTCCTGGAGAGACCAGATGTGGGGGAGAAGGGACAGGAGGCCAGGATAGGAGTGGGGCCTGTGGTCAAGAGGCCTTAGGGTCAGGACACCTTGCTGGCTAAGTCAGAAAAACATGTGACCCTTGATCTCAGGGTCATGAGTTCAAGCCTCACATTGGGTATGGAGATTACTAGAATAAAGTAAAAAAAAAAAAAAAAAAAAAAAAAACAGGAAAAAGAAGGTGAGGGTCTCAGAGACAGGGATGGGGGCTGCCCTGAAACGAGTCACAGTGTGAGAGGTGTTTGAGGAGGAGAATTAAGGAGAAACTCCCGGATTCTGCGTTGGTGGATGGATATTGGCACAAAGAAGAGGGCCGGGGTACACAGGCCCCAGGTCTCCCATGAGGTGGCCTGCAATCAGAGATAGAGGGTTGTGGGCTGAGAGCTGGCTCAGAAAGGGAAGAAATTGAAACATTCTCAAAGTAGAAGCTGTGGCAGCCTGGGGGGGAGGGCACAAGCTCTCCATGTGCGTGCTGTGTGACAGTCCCCATGGGTCCAGACGCTAGCTGGCCCCACAGAGTCTCAGGTTTCCTTAGGATGCTGTCAGCTCCTGGCTCGGCTCTCAGGTTGCCATCTCCGAGGGTGGGTGTCCTGAGGCTGGCGGGGACAGAGTCCAGGGAGGAACAGGTGCCTGTGTGGCCATGGACAACCAGGGCCAAGAGGTGGGATGAGGACCTGAATGTCAGTCTGAGAAGAGGAGAGAAGGTGGTGACTCCCCTGCCCGACTGCTGATGATGGGTTCGGGGCTCCCAATCTCAGTGAAGGGGTTTTCATGCAGGGAGTCACGTCAACACTCTCAGGAGCAGCCGTGCAATGAACCTGAACATGCACATTCACATCCTCCTCGGTGTGCCTATGAGTATCCACAACACACACACACACACACACACACACACACACAAACCCAAAATATGCAACACACACAGATATGCATGTAATCAGAACACAACACACATAGAACACACATGCACAACACGTACATATATATTCATGTGTGCTACTGCACTGCAGCCCATACCACATGTACACAAGCACATACATACATGATAATGTGGGCACACTGAACAAGTCCCCACTCTCCTATTCCACAAGGTCCTTTTATCCAGACTTCAGTCCCCAGTTTGGGGAAGCTCTAAAAGTGACAGAAGGCTGAGGACCTCCCAGAGGCTAGGAGTTCCTTCCCACTCCAGGCTCTCATCAGGTGATGAACATCAGCAAGGGGGTCCCCAGGCCAAGCTGCAGGGTCCCAGGAGGGCTCTCAACTGTTACCTAGAGGCTTCCTACACCATCTTGGGTTTTTCTGTTGCAGTTTCATGAAGAACTCAAGCCTGGAGACCTGATTGAGATTTTCCGCATTGGCTATGAGCACTGGGCCATCTATGTGGGAGGCGGTTATGTGATCCATCTGACTTCCCCAAGTAAGAGCTGTTGGAAATATAATTTTTCAAAATATTTGTTACCAGATTGAGAATAATTGGAGGAAAGAGCTGAGCAAGGGAAACCAGAGTTGGTTTCTCCCTGAGCAATGCTTGAGCAGATCCTATATCCATATCCCACTGCGTAATTGAGTGGGATCCCATAGATCCAGGGGCAGGGAAGTCAAACAGAATGCCCATTCCATGAACAGGAAGGGAATGAGAAGCCTTTGATTGCTGGGAGCCAGCTCATGGGTCACTGGAGGTCACATCTTCAAGATGAAACCCCCAACACCCATATTTTGATTACCCAAATGGACATAATACGTACCTCAAAAGTTAAAAGGTGATGAAGTAATACATGGAAAGTAGCAGTGTGTGAAACACAGTCAATAGTAAAATAAATTTGTTCTCTTCGCGAAATGTATAAGCGCACAAAAATGAACAAATAGTAAATGTTTGACTACCACTGATCATAATGGCAAAATTTCTAAAGACCTAAGTGTTCAATAATAGGGCTTGGTCAAATAAACGATCTATATCCATGTGATGAAATTACAATGACATTGCCATAAGCAATCATGACATTCACTGACTTGAAAAAGTATTCACAGCTTGTTAAATAAAGATCTAGGAATCCTCCAATCACCTATGTGAAAAGACAAACAGCAACACTCCAGTAGTGTCCTCCCTTGCTCCTCTTTTTCATCCTGCCCCTCTTCTCTCCCTGTCTCACCTTCCCCTGCAACCCACCCCCCACGACCATGACCATATCTCTGACTCCAGGTGAGTACCCTGGCGCCGGCTCCAGCAGCGTCTTCTGTGTGCTGAGCAACAGAGCCGTGGTGAGACGGGACCGCCTGCAGGATGTGGTGGGGAACTGCAGGTATAGGGTCAACAATCACTTGGACCACAAATATACACCAAGGCCTGTGAATGAGATCATCTGCTCTGCAAAGCAGAAGATTGGTCAGGAGATGCCATACAGTCTTCTGAGCAGAAACTGTGAGCATTTTGTCACCAACCTGAGGTATGGTGAACCCCACAGCAGGCAGGTAAGGCCCTCTGAGGTGATCCCTCTCCCTCCTGAATGTCTCCTGGGGTGTCCAAGCTGGGCAGCGTAAGGGGAGAATCATTATGACCCACATGCTGGAATCAAGATGTCTGAGCTCAAATCTTCAATCAGCTTCTGATCCACTGGGGGTCGTTGGACAGGTCACTCCCTCCCTGGGCCTCAGTTTCCCCACGTGTAAGAGGAGGAGTTGAATGGAGGACCTCGGGAGGCCTGCCAGTCTGACCTTCTAGGATCCTGCAGCTTGAATACCCACCCTAAAGGCAGCTCCTAATGCTCCCAAAGAGTGTTGGGAAAAGTCAGGGCCAAGCCAACCGTATAACAGGTCTCCTAAGGCCCCAGAGAGCCCTCAGCCAAGGGATGCTCAAGGTCACGAGCCTGTGTAAGACTCAAGGATATATTTATGGAAGATCTGGGGCTCAGCTCCACTCCCACCTCTTCAGTCTTCCATGTGTTGTCCCCAAAATGCACAGCTAGTTATTGGCAGAGGCAGGATTCCAACCCGGGCTGTCCTTCTCTAGAGTCTGCTCCTTACCGCTGTACAGCAGCAGGCCTAATAATTTAAAGTATCGCATCACTGCTGCTCCTAGTTGGGCCATTTATTTAAGAACTCACAAAGAGCACCTCTGTGCCTGGCAGAGCTGGGTGCGGGGGATGCAGTGAAGAACAAGACAAGTGACACAGGTGAGGTCCTTGATCTTCCCGGAGTCACAGTAGTGACCTAGTTTGGGAGCAGTTCCTGGGCCACCTCACACTTGCTTCAAGGGCTCCCCAGTGGCCAGACAGGATGTCAGCCATCCGGGCTTCATCTTCTCGTCCATTCCACTACTATCCCCAGGGACTTGTGTTCTTTAAATACTTGCAGGGCTCCAGGCCCAGGTGATTGGGTGGACAGAGGCTTCTGGATGAGATGAGGGTGAGGATGGGAGGACAAGGCTTGCGGAGGGAAACCAAGAATTTGGAGGTAGTTGGTGATGGGTGGCTTTTAGACCTCCAGGTGACGATGGTGAGTAGCAGTTGGACCTAGGAGTCTGGAGTTGAGAGAGGAGCTGGGGCTAGAGGTAGAAGTTTCCATGCTGCAGTTCACAGTGCATAGTGAAGTCAAAGTATGCTCGCTTGGCCATGGTGTCCAGAGGTCTCTCCTCAGCTTCTGTCAATCCCCCTCCCTGGGGGTGTAGCCCAGACTGCAGAGCAGTTCCCAGGTTCAGGAGAGAGCTCTATTCTCCTAGGAAACCAAGCACAAACCCTCTTCCTTCCCCAATCTGAGTCAGGAACTAATGTGGTCACCCAGCAAACTCACACAAAAGGATCCCATCAGCCCAGACAAGCCTACCACTAAGAGGTCTTCACCACTAAGAGACTATAGGTCTCCCTGGAAATGGGGCCCCGAGGACTCAGCAAGTATCTTCCCTGGGAGAGAACTCTGGGCTGGCAGCTCAGAGGGAAGGAGAATTGGGTGTGGCCTCCAGGCCCTAGGAAGAGAGGGAGAATCTGCCTGTACTTGCTGTGTGTGAATGCTGACCATGGGTTACTCACTTTCAGGTGACAAATGCCCTGATTGGAGGAGGGGCAACCCTGGGAATTGGCTTCATTGCTGTTCTTGGATACTCTCTTTTAAAGAGGCGATCCCAAAACCAGTGACAGCCTGAAGGAGCCACAAATCCTGCATCTGGGCACATCAATGGAGACACCTCACGGCTCTTCTGTCTGCTGGACCCTTGCCCTCAGGCAACCTTGGTTCTGTTTCTCCCCTTCCCTCACTCACTGGCTGAAGGATGGGCTAATTGTATCAAAACCAAAGAATCAGTAAGTGTATCTTAAGAAAGGAATTCCATTATATTTTTTAGATTATGAGCAAAAAAGGAAGAAAGGAACATTAATTTGGCACCTGTTGGGTTCTCTCAGCAATTTCTAGCTAAGTGACCTTGGGAAGAGCTCTTGACTCTCAGAGCTTGGGTCCCACCTTCTGTGGGATTGGGGTAATGATCCATTTCTCAGTGATGTCATCAGGATTCAGTACGGTCATGTGGAGAGGACACTCCGTGATGTCTGGTGCCTAGCTGGTATCTGATGGGTTGTCTACATCTGTCCACCTAGACTAGCCATTGCTGTCAGGACACATGATTCCTTTTACTATTGGGGTGCCTAAAAACCAAACTCAACAACTGAATTTTGTCCCTCTGTAGCCACAACACCTGGTGCTTGAACCCCTGACCCCACATGTACATTTCCCAACATCTTCCCAAGGACCTCCCTCACTCAGACCTCCTTTTAGCTTTCTTTGTCAACTCCAAGTCTGGTCCTCATCCTCTGTGAGTACCAGATAGAAATATATTGACTTTCCATGCCTAAATTGCATGGCTTGAAGTTCCCCCTAGTTTGAATGCTGAAAATTAACCACCTCAATTTTTGGGCAGTGAAACTACTCTGTATGAGACTATAATGATGCATAGGCCCCATAACACATTTGTCCAGACCCACAGAATGTACAATGCTGAGAGTGGACCCAAACGAAACTGTGAACTTTGGGGGATAATGACACGTCCACGTGGGGTCATCAGTTGTAACAACAGTGGATGTTCCGCTGAGGGATGTAGGTAGTGGGGGAGGCTGTGCATGGAGTGAGAACAGGGTGTCCAGGAACTCTCTGTACCTTCAACTCTGCTGTGAAGCTACAATGGCTCAAAAAAATAAAGTTTTTAAAACAAATTAACCACCTCTGAATATCCCTCTGTTACCTTCCAACAAGCTCTCCAGGAGGTCTCAGAAGTGCCAAGTCCCCATGTTCTTGTGCCTGCTCAGCCTGCCCCTGCCAGCAGCAACCCTACTGAATGGCCGCTCCATGTGACCATCCTCCACGGTGGTCACTACAGTCACTACCTCTCTGGCTTGAGGATGAGGGATGTTGCCCTCCTCTGGGCTGTACCTTCCCAGGCATGTGAAAGCTGGTGGGTCCCTGAATCCCCCCCCAGCATGACAGAAAACAGGCTACAACCAGTCATAAGACTTTCCTGAAAAGTCAAGGCTATCAGAAGGTTGAAGGTTAAAAGAGTGTCTTACACTTGCTACAACCAAAGGGGGCCCTGCTCTGATCCCCAGGTTGAACTATCAGCCTCCATTTGGGGGTTCCAGAAGAGTCCATGCCTGCCTCACAGTGGTCAGAGGGCCACGCTACCCTCCACAAAGGTGGGCACAAATGGAAGGCCAAGAGACGCAAAGGCTTTCTTACTTCTTGTTATCTGTGACTCCCCTTCCTGGAACTCATTTCATGTCAAGATCAATTGTCCCAAAAAAAAAAAAGTTGTCCCAGCATAATGGTCAGTCCAAGGTACGCGTAGCCGGCACCACCATGTCCCACCCCTGTTTGCAGTCTCAGATATCCCCGTATCTACCCTTGATGGCAATTCTCACGGTGAGACTTGGAACACTGATCGGTGAGGTTCTTTTACTAATACCCCTCTCTCCGTTAGAACTGCAGGGACCCCAAGAGGTAGTCCTGTCAGAGCTTGTCACACTGGGACCCCAGCATTCATCGCAATGCCTGGCTTACTGTGGGTGCTCCATAAAAACTTGTTTGCTTCATACATTCACTAATACATAGGAAAATGCAACAATTATTCTCTGCGATTGTGAGAAAAACTTTGAAATGAAATAAAGTTGCAGCCCTCAATATAAAGTTTAACGCCCACTAGAAGTGTGTTGAGTTGCTGGAAAGTTTTAACATATGCTGGACGAGTTGTAGGCTCCTACCTTCTAGACTGACTTCCATGAATCAAATTCCACTAAAACGTGAAGATATATATAATTAATAAAAGCATAGTTTACTTGCATGTGAAAAGCTGACAAAATTGTGGCACTACCTCCTGACAACCCTTGGTCTCAGCACATTTTTAGGGCTATAACTTGCTTCAGAGAATATGCATATCCACAGACTGTGTTTCAGTTCAAGGAAAGTTCAATAAGACTGATGAGTGCTGGAGAAACGAGAACCCTGGAGTCCACGTGGCATGACTCTGATTGTCCCTTAACAGCATTCTGTCACTTTTGTAAGACAACATCTCTGTCCTCACTCTCAGTTGTGGAACAGCTGGCAGGACATAGGGAAGTCCCCCATGCTGCCCCTCCTGCCTCGTGGATGGCTGATGTTTTCCTCTGTGTGCATCCACGAGAATTTTCTAAAGGTGGCTGGGATCTGGAATGGCTGAGACATAGGAGGACAAGGGAACTCTCCGGGCTGCCAGCCAGCTGGATGTACCACAAAGCGATCCTCCAGGGGAATGGCCCTGTGCCGCCCAGGGTGAGGGGACATGCTCAGGAGAGCCCCTTGCAGGGTGATGGCAGTGCTGAGAGCACCCAGCAGCCCTTAGGCAGTCCCTCTGCTGTGGGGAAGGGCCATTGTGCCACTTCACATAGCCGGTCACCTAGACAGCTGCCCAGGTTATCACCAGACACTCCCATCATCTCTCTGTAGGGTTTGGGGGTAACGTCCCCTTATTCCCCACCTGTTTCTATCCTCCTATCCTGGTACCTGGAATTTGCCACAGTGAATTCAGTTGTTAGCCTTTGTCTCTCAGACAACATGTGCTTTCAATCTCCTTTGAAGCTGTTGGTATCTTAGTACAAAATAGTCCTATGGGGACTTTCAGCTCTCTGGTAGGACCTGGAAGAAATGGGACTTAGCACGGGCTAAGTCTTTGTGTAAAGATAAGTGTGAGGGTTGTGTAGCCTGAGACCAGGGCTGTTGTGGGGGAGGGAAGGTGTTCTTTGAAATGCATGGTCAGGGTGGGGAGGCAGTAGGGAGTCAGGAAAGAGGGATGCTAAAGAGAGAGGCAGAGGACTTGAAGATGAGCTCCCCAGTTTCCCCTGAGAACCCCTTGCATCCTACATGGCAGGAATGTCAGTCAGTCTTGTTCTGGGGGCTTCAGGAAGGCAAGGGAGTCAGAGGGCTCTGTGTCCACCCTTGGGGAGAGGCTGGTCGGGAAAGGAGGCAGGAGGCCAGGATTGTGAGGATCTCCTCAGCCCTTCCCCTCGGCCAGACCCTCACCGCAAATGTTGGCACCTCCAGCCTGCTCTCTCTATACCCTCTCTGTTTGCTTTGCTCTCTGGGCAGCTCTAGTGGACCTCCTTCCTTGAGGCTTTTCCAGAAAAGGGTCATCCTCAGTCCCTATGCACATTCTCCTGTTGCCTGAAAGACAAGAGAGGCTAGATTCCTCGCCAAGAACCCCCCAGGGACAACTGACTTTCCAATAGGAAAACTACAGCCCGGGGGCAGTAGGCTGGCGCTCTGCCTGAAAGACATCGGCTACGTAACTATCTTCATTTCTGATCTCCAGGTATGGTCTAACTTGCACACTGAGTATTGGAAATGGTTTATCCTTGGAAAAATTAAAGACGTGATCATGAGCCTAATAGGATAGAGATGATCTCTCATTGGTGAAAGGACTGCGTCTCATGACCCTCCCCACCCTTGCAGGAGCACAGTGCGGGAGAGAAGCCCGGAGCCTGACACTTTAGGAATGGCCCCTGAACCTTGATCCCCAAACTGCTAGGACAGAGGGGAGTCCTAGCAGTCCTAGTCCCCATTCTGCTCTCAGGGCAGGCTGTGACTGGCTCTGTGGCTCTTTGGTGAACACTCGTTTCATAAATGCCTAGGGGTGCCATGGAATTTGGTCTGAGATTTGCTTTCATTATAAGCTGAGGATGAGGTCTGGGGAAGCAGCTAGCTAACAGGAAGGCATTCAGACATTTCCATGGTCACCAGGGGGTGCTAATTGAAACGTAAGAGCTGTGCAGGCAGGTGACAGCTCAGCTGATGTGCCACAGTGGGAGCCAGGGTACCGCTCCCAGGACTGGTGGTGTGGCCACAGCAGGCCCCTCACAGGTGCCAGGGTCCCTTCCCTTTCTTCACAGGGTAGGCCCTCCCCAAAGACTCGGGGTCTGGCCAGGTAAGGGGTGGGGGTGGAGGGACAGAGCCCTCTTGCTTCTCCCTCGCTGTTCCTGCTGCCTTCTAATGGGCATTTGAGACATGACAAAAAAAGAGTTAGAATCAAATATTACATTTTCCAAAGAGCAGCAATAGGTTGGGAAATCACATCTTATGAATGATCTGGGAGCTCCAGCCTCTGATTCCAGTCAAGGAAGGTCCCCTGGGTCCAGACCCAGGCTTCCAGCAGGTCTTGAGGGGCCCAGATTGGCGCCGGCTCCACCCGCTCGCCCCCCCACCCCGAGCTGCCCTGTAATCAGGGGTGCCAGCCTGGCCTGGCTCACCCTCACATCCCTCCCAGGGAAACTTACTCTGGGGCCAAGTGTGAGCCGTCCCTCAGGGGCTCCTGACAGCCCCTGACCCAAGGCAGCCTATCGGAAGTCTGAGCTGGTGCGGCACTGAGTCAACCACACCCTCAGGGACTGGACGTGGAAGCTGGGAGAGGCGGTGCTGAGATGACGGGACAGGAGGGGCCGCAGGAGAGGTGCAGTGTCAGAGACTCGGGTCAGGGCAAGCCTTCTTGGAGAGGAGGCAGGAGCGCTGGGGGTAGAAGGGCCGGGGGGGGGGGGATGATAAAGGCAGAAAGAGAGAGACCAATCATTCGTGGAAGGAAGACAAGCAGGCAGTAAGGGGACGATGGGACACCTTCCCTCACTATGGTGGCCTCATGCTCGTGGCCCAGAACTCTTAGACATGGTTCAAGCCACTGAGGTCCCAGGCCCTGGCAGGCCCATGGTTCCCATTCTTAGGCATCACAGGTGTGTCTCCCCTCCCCTTGGTGTATCCTCACACTGTGAAGAACACAGGCCTCCAGGGGCACCTTCTGGCTCTGTGGGTTAGGCTCCCACTCTTGGTTTCCACTCAGGTCATGACCTCAGGGTGGTGAGATTGAGCCCCAGCCCCACTTAAGGCTATGACTGAATGTGCAGCCTGCTTAGGATTCTCTCTCCTTCATCTACTTCCCACTCCCTTCCCATGACCACCCCCGCCTCCGGTGTACAGGTTCTCTCTCTCTCTCTCTCTTTTCTCTCTCTCTCTCTCTCTCTCTCTCTCTCTCTCTCTCTCAATAAAAATAAGAATACTAGCCTCCAAGAAGAAACCAGAGGAAAGTGGGAATGGCCAGGGTACATCTCAGTGGAGCTAGAGCCTGTATGCACCTGCTCAGGCTACTGTAAGGACAGACCACAGACCAGGAGCTTAAAGCACAGATGTTGGTTTCTCATGACTCTGGCTACTGAAAAACTCAAGATCAAGGTGATGACAGATTTAGTTCCTGGTTGAAACTTCTTGGGTTGCAAATGGTCCGCTTCTCACTGTGTCCTCACATGGAGGTGAAAAAGAACTCTGGTCTCTCTTCTTCTTCGAAGGCGGCTAATCCATCATGGGTGGGGGGCATTCCCATTACCTCATCTATTCCTACTCACCTCCCAAAGCCCTCTCACCTCCAGGAACCATCACATTAGGCCTTCAGCATGAATTTTAGGGGCACACAACCCTTCAATCTATAATGGAGCCAACTGTGCCTTTAATAGAATTTAAAGGAGATTTAATGAATTTTTTTTTAAGATTTTATTTACTTCTTCATGAGAGGCACAGAGAGGGAGAGAGAGAGAGAGAGGCAGAGACACAGGGAGAGGGAGAAGCAGGCTCCATGCAGGGAGCCCAATGTGGGACTCCATCTCGGGTCTCCAGGATCACGCTCTGGGCAGGAGGCGGCGCTAAACCGCTGA